CGTCGCCCTTCCAGAATGTGGGCGCCGCCGGCCCCTCGCTGAACAGCAAGCGGGGGAGGGGGCGGCCCCGGAAGGCCAACCTTTTGGACTCGGTGATGTTCAGTGCCCCGGGGGGGTTGAGGGATGCCGGAATCCTGCCGTGCGGGCTCTGTGGGAAAGTCTTCACGGATGCCAACCGCCTCCGGCAGCACGAAGCTCAGCACGGGGTGACCAGCTTGCAATTGGGGTACATTGATCTCCCGCCCCCGAGGCTCAGTGAGAATGGGATGCCAGGCCTGGACGACCCCGAGGCGCCCCGAAAGAGGAGCCGGACAAGGAAGCAGGTGGCTTGCGAGATCTGCGGGAAGATCTTTCGGGATGTTTACCACCTGAACCGGCACAAGCTGTCGCATTCTGGCGAGAAGCCGTATTCGTGCCCCGTGTGCGGGCTGCGCTTCAAGAGGAAAGACCGAATGTCTTACCACGTTCGCTCCCATGACGGTTCGGTGGGGAAGCCTTACATTTGCCAGAGCTGTGGAAAAGGTTTCTCTAGGTAAGAGAGGAAGCGCTGCTGGGTTCAGAGATGCTGAATTCCAAAGGCTGCCCACCCTGGCTCCCTCTGGGCGCCTTGGGGCAGCGACAGCCCCAGCCTGCCCCGAGGCACCAGTTCAGGCAGGCAGGCAGGCAGGCAGGCAGGCAGCAGCGGTTGCCAGTGGCGTTGGCTCCCAGCCCACCCCCTCCCACAGCAGTCCCCTTGCTAGGGCACTCTGGGCGGGATGGCTCTTCCCCCAGCAGCAATCGGGTGACATCCCCTCCCAGCTCTTCGGCGATGGGTGAAGCCATCCAGACGCGCAGGGGGCGGCCGTGCTCTGGCCCTCTGGCTTGCATCCGCTGTGCCGTTTTTGTGGCACGTGGTGCTGTGTCCTGACAACTAGGCCTGCAGAGTTGATTTCTCAAAGATGCTTTGGATTCAGCTTCTGGGGAGAGACTTTCAGGCCCCTTTTTAGGGTTGCATCCAAAACTCTGCCCACTTTTGGCTTCTGTCCAAACCCCTTTGATAACTCTGTCCTTTGCGCTTTCCCTCAAACGGTTCCTGAGCTTAAGGGCTGTGGCCTAAAGAGTACGAGAAGCCTTCTTCAGGATTTCAGGGCACCTGTCCAGTGGGAAAAAGAGGATGGCTTGATTGTTATCGCCTCCCCCCCCCAAAAAAAGGGCTCCCTTCTTTCTATATTCCTTTTTCTAAGTGTGCTGTTATGGTCTGATAGGGTTTTTGGAAACAGTGGCTTGGATGTCACATTTTCCAACTGTTTCTCCTGAGTAGAGGTATAGATCCAGATTACTCTGCCAGTGGGATCAGTAATATTTTTGCAGAGGAGATCCTGCTTTCAGTTACTGCTTGCAGACTTGGAACATTCCCGTGCTTGTCCTTCCACTGTCTCAGCTTTAGGACTCAACCCTTTTGAGATTACGAGAGCAGACCCAGACTGGGACCGGCTTGGGCAAGACGAGCAGCCTGCGGGGCAGGTTTGCAGGACTGACTTTGGCTAGTGTCCGAAGGGAGAAATTCACTGTGGCCGAGTTCACGCTGCAGGCTGAGCCAAAACAGATTTGGGGCTTGGCTTCGTGTCTTGTTATGCAGTCAGCCAATCATGATTTAGTGCGACTCTCTTGCACTCCTGTGTGAGGGGCGGGCACCAGGTCAAATCAGACCCCTTGCCTTGTTCCCAGATAGCCCTGAGTCAGTGGGGTTGGTGGAAGGACCGCTGACAAGTTAGGGGGTGCCTCTTGCGAGATCTTTTGCCAAATCCGGGTCATAGTGGATCTGAGAGAAATATGGCTGTGGGAACCCACTTTAATTAACCTACTTTCATGCTTGATCTGAGCTTCAATACTTGAGTGCCATCCTGTCCAGGCAGGGCAGCTAAGCCACCCATTCAGAACCCGCCCCCTTAGGAATAAATGAGCCTCGTTGAGCCTGGCAAGAGTTTTGCGCGCATCTGCCTAGGACCAGGCGGTCAGAAACCATGCCAAAGCCCTGCTTGGCAGCCGGCGGCCTTAGGAACCTTTTCCAGGTGGCCCAGCAGCTATTTTTCCTTCTGGCATGCCTGATCTGCGTTGGCACAGAGGAGCTCAAGGAAAGATGGCAACTGGGGCACCCTGTGACCCGCACATGCAAGGCTCCCCTTTCTGAAGAGTCCTCAGCGTTTCAGACAGGGACCGGCACCCCCTCCTGCCTCCGCCTGAGTGGCATCTCCTCCCAGACACGCCCTTCGTGACAGAGCAGCCACAGAGCTGGACATCTTCTTCCTCTCCTGGCAGTCCCATGGCCTCTGCGGAGCTAATGGTCACTCTTCCCTTCCTTTGACCGAATGAGCATCAGGAGCCACCTCTGGTGAGCCAGGATTTGGCCACCTCAGTCCAATGGGCCTGCTCTTCTCAGATGTGGCAGTGGCATTCCCAAGAGCCTGGTGGCAGGGCGCTTCGCCTGGCGCCTTCATTGGGTGAAGCACGTGGTCTGCTCTTGAGTCGCCCTCTGCGTGGAGAACTGAGATGGGAGCAGCCTTGTGCCTCGTGGCCTGGCATCTTTACAGCTCTCTGAAGAAGGGGAATCTTTCTAGGCTGTTCGGATGCCCACAAGCGGGAAGGGCTCTTGCACAAGCCCCCTTAGGGGCAGTCCTGTAGATGAAAGTAAGTTCCACTGAGTTTAGCAGGGCTTCCTTCCAGGTAAGTGGGTTGAGGGTTGCTGTCTTTAGAAGGAAGGCACGGGGGTTGTTGACATCAGGCAGGGTTCAGCAGCTCAGCTGCAGTGCCCATAGCAGTTCAGAAGATCCTGCACAATTCCAGCCATGCTGCTTTTTTATTAGAAGTGGATGGAATCTCATGAGGTCCCCACATTTCTTGAGCTTTCCATATTTTGCATGATATTATCAAGGCCTCAGGTGAGAATGCCAAAGGATTTGGGGCTTCCTGCATGAGACCACCTGAGATCTCGAGGGTGAGATTCCTGCCTTTAATTTGGATTTTATTCTGTGGTGCCCATGCGTGATCTTGCGTGATGGCACACAGCACCTGAAAAGCTCACTGTGTGGGGGACACTTTTATGGCAATCTTTTAGATATATTGGCATTTGGGAATGAAGCTCAGCTGGGGGCGGGGGAGGCAACACAGTGAAGCAGAACAAGAGCAAGGCCTCCTTGTGAGTCACAGCAACCTTCTCAAGATCAATGAATTTTGGGCCTTGTGGTTTTGCACAAAATCTGCCCTTTCTTGCATGCAGAAAAGCGTTGAAGGGTCTTCTGGCTGAGTCTTGCAGCCCAGACTCGCAGAGAAGGAGAGACGTCTTCACCAGCTTTGAACCATGGGGTGTGATTTAAGAAGCAGCAAACAAGTGAGATCCTTGAGGATTTCCTTAACAAACTCAAAAGTGTTTCGCCATTTCCAAGTTCTTCCCATGGGTGGTGTGAAGCTCCGTCTCCCTGCAGAAAGGGATAACCTGCTGCTGAACTGTCAGGTTTTATCATGTTGGTCCCAACAAGTTACAAGAGAATAAGCTTCCACTGGACAGAGAGAGATTTTCCTTTGAATCTAACATCTAAAATTGCACGGTGCGAGAAGGATCCCAAACGCTACATAGAGATGATTGTTGTGTGAAATTTTATCAGTCCTAATAGATGAAAACTGCTCTTTGTGGCTATCGGTCTTGGGCTCAGTGGGTGCAGTCCAGTCCATGCTCCCCCAGCCATCCCTGGTTTTCCTAGGATCGTGTTCAGCCTGCGCGTTTTCTGATCGAGAGCTTCCCAAAGGCGGTTTCTAGGGCTGTGCTGGTGCATGAAAGGAGGACGTGCTTGGTTGCGGAGCTCGGAATGGCTCCTAGAAGGGCCAAACAGGCCTCTCCGGTCTGGTGGCCAGAGCCCACCTGCCCTTGCTCCCTCAACTGAACTATGGTAGGCCTGTGGTCTACCTTCTGTGGGTGAGTTCCACTGAGCTGTGCGCAGATGGCTGAGGACAGAAATGCCGGGGAGGATCATCTAGTTTCCAAGCAACTTCTGGGTTTCAGACAATGCCAGGCTTTCTTCCCACCGGGGGCAGGCAGGGAGGGAAGACTCCCCTTGTTCCAACTCCTTTGGTGATGCTTGAAAAAGAAGCTTGTCTGCGGTTGCATTGCCTACTGAATGGGTTCTCCAAACACTAAATTGTCTATTCAGGTGGCAGTCTTATGCACGCTTCCCTGGTAGCGTGTCCAGTTGATATTGATGGGTGAACTCAGCGGTCAGAGTCCAGCAGAAGGCCATGGCCTGGCTTCTCTAGCCAGCAAATCGCCTTGCAAGCGTGCGTCCCATAGCAGTCTTGCTCGTTCACCGAGTAACTCGCCAGGCCACACAACAGTCTCCCATGCTGTTTATCTAAATGGAACCATTCCAAAGAATTCCACAATTTTATCCTGCCTTTTGACCCAGAATTTTGGGAGGTTCCAGGCATTTTTCTCCTCCAGACCCTAATGAATCTCATGGCTTCTGCAGTGGGCTGCAACAGATTCCCTGCTGAGTTGCATGAATGCTCATTCAGAGCAATGGCACTCAAGACAGCTTGCGGAAGATTTTAAATGTTAAACAATAATTATAGAGATATATTTTAAAATCCTTCAAGGCACCAACTGATGCTTGAACATACAGAGGAATGTCACTAAATCTTAAGTTGATAATACGTGCGTAAGCTTGCATGTGAGCTGGTTTCAAAAAATAGCAACCATTTGCATTGTTTTTAAGATGCTGAGAAAGAAACTTGGGGGGAGAGAGAGAAGGGGAGATGCCTCTCTGAAGGTGGTGGGATCCTTGCAGTTCTTAGAAGTATGTGATATAAAAAGAACATTTAGAAAAGGGGTTCTAATATGGAGCTGTTAGGAGCTGGGGGGACTGAAGCCTGCCTTGCTGCAAAAATTCAGCCGAGAGGCCCCACTGCACCACTGCTCCCGGTCTGGGCAGGTTATAGGGAGGGCTGACTCCCAGCCACCGTGGCTCCTGGCCTGCCTACGATGAGAGCGAAACCAGGCAGAAAGCAGGTGGGTCTTGTGCGTAAGGCTCTCCTTTCTGGGATTTCTGGATATCGAGGGAACCAGAGCCCTTTCAGGTACCTAAGTCTGGACCATTAGATTTTGAAGTTGGTCTTTGGACACACAGGCCCAGCTGAGCTGGCCCCGGAGGTCTCCTCTAGAACAAAAGGACCATTTCTGGCTGCAGCCCCGTCTGGAGGCCACTGGTATCCTTGGAAGCCTACGCAGTTGGTGTTCACTCGCAGCATGATCGCCTCCTTGTACTTCAGGAGATTGGGGGGCGGGCAGGGTCTGTGTGTAAATGTGGCTGCCCCTCCCTCCCTCCCTCCCTTCTGGAGAGACCTCGACCAGAGTGTGGTGGTTGAACTTTGTGTCCGAGGAACACCCTTGCAGACTTAGTTATGTCTGTACCTGTTTTTCTTTTCAAGGCCTGACCACCTGAATGGGCACATCAAGCAGGTGCACACCTCGGAGAGACCTCACAAATGTCAGGTAGGTACCCTGGGATGGGGTGGGTGTGGTAATAATAATAAAGCAAAGCCCATGCTTGCAATGAAGGTGGAGCCCTGGGGTGGCCGTTCTCTGCAGTAGAGTCCAGAGGCTGCTGGACCCGTTGTCCTCTTCCTGATGCCGTCTTTGGCATCTCCAGCCCCATCCTTCCTGGAAGACCCTTCCTGCTCCCCAGCCTTGGATCCCTTTCTTTACAGCCTGGCTTCTCCCAGTTAGACCCTGGGGTTCCCCGCTCCTTTTCCTCTCCTGCCTGTCCACCAGGCGCTGGCTGACCATATTTTGCATGGTCATGGCTGACCATATTTTGCATAGTTTGGGGGCAGTTCTAGCTAACCCCGGAATGCCATCTCCTGGATGTTCCCTCCCTGCCTGAGCAGCCGTCAGAGCATCACGTTGGGGACTGGTTGCTGCTTTCCTGCTTTCTCTCAAGGCTTCTTCTGGCTGAAGCACAGCTGGAGCAAGCAAAGCCTGGGTGGAGTTTTCCTTCCAGTTGCCTAAATGTTTGCAGTTGAATTTTAAGAGCACTGAGTTAATCCTTGTGTAGTTAATGCTGAAAATAGAGCTTTTGTTGTTCTTTTGATTTAATAGGATTTGGGGGGGAAAACCTCTCTTCCCCTTTGCACGAAAACCAAAGCATTTACAAATGTCGAAAGTCTTGTCCAGCTGTCAGGATACCCCAGGGTTTCATTGCAGCTGCTGGGTCCTTCTTTCTCTTTCCCATGTGTGTGCAACCCCCTCCCCCCGCCTTTATTTCCTCTCCCCCATGTCATGTTTGGCTTTCCCCACCCTGGATGCTCTCAGGAGGGTGGGCTTCAGCTCCCAGAACACCCCACCATTACTGTTGCTGGAAATTTGGGAAGTGAAGGCCACCCTTCTGCTGGGCACTGGGGGAGGGAAGGCTGGTTGAGCCCCAGAACTCTGGTGGAAATGAACTGGGATTAAAAGAGACTAAGCATTCTCTGAACCTGGGTTTCGTTCTGGGATTTATCAGTAGAATTAATAATAGTAGATATGATATCAAGCCAAGACAGGGAGGACTGCTAGCTGCAGGTTTGAGGGTCTCAAAGAGGTCCAAACTGAGAAAAGTTAGAAAATGGGGAATTGTTTCAAGCTGCTGTGGGGTTCCCAGCACGCTCTCTTAGAAATGGGTGGTAGCCATCTGATGTCGCAGCCTCAGTCAGTCTTCTGGAACCACCGTGGTCTAAGGGCTGTTCAGCTGCCCAGGAGAGCAGACAGGAAATACCCCCCAAGCAGCCCTGCAAATAGAAAAAGATAAATTCCTTTAATTTGGCTCCAGGAAGATTAACTACGCTAAATGTTAGCGGGTTTCTTTTGGGAGGAAATTGTCATGGGGAGGCTCTGCAGATTTTTACTGGGTGGAAGAGGCGAACGTCCACAGCCAGGCTCTCCACCCGAAAGGGCAGTGGGCTTGTTCAGGAATGGTGTTTGACCCACAACACAGCCTTGAAAGATGCTGCAGCTGGCACAGGTTGGGTTGGATGGCAGAGGAAGACCGCTGGAGGCCCTGATCACCTTGCCTCATTCGGGGGCCAGAGCCAGGTTCAGTTGTTTTTCAGGGCAGCCTCGTTTGGGTATGTTCTCTTTCTAGGCATTGCTCATTTTACCAGTGGTCACAGCCAGTGCATTAGACATAACTCTGCAAACCCACTCCTTGCCATCATCATCAGCTGCAAATTCGGAGGCAGCCAAGGGGTCCCCTGATGCAGATCTGCTCTTTCAAGGGGGTATCTCCAACTTATCTGGACTTAACCTCAGTTTGTTTTCCTTGTCCAGCCCTGCCAGACTTGGGCGGAGTCAAGAGAATCAGCTGCTTCCTTTCAGATGGAGGGGAAAGAGTATCACAGCCGGGTCTCACCAGCATTCAGACGGCACCCAACCTCAGTGCCCCAGTGGTCTCATGTAGATGTTTAGGAGTGCTGGGAACAAGATGGTGACCTTGTGGGGCATCACAGAGCAAACCTGGGCCCCAATTTCGGGGAGGGGGGTATCATAATCCAACAGGAGAGACGGGCTCATTGTAAAACAGTGACCCCGATCTCAAGACTGCCAGGGGGTTGAGAAGGGTACCATGCTTGGTGGGACTGAAAATCTTGGGAGGTCCAGGAACAAGTAGGCCTGAAGTCTGCCATCCAGATCCCAGCACAGGTCACCTGACATGGCAGCTGCGTATGCTGGACCCAGCGCCTCCAGGTGCCCCTGACGCTGTAAGGCCTACTCTCTCAGTCACTTAGCCAGAAATGGGACGTTTGAGATCAGCCATGGTATTCTCCAAGTCAAAAGAAGTTTTCTCTAGCCATGTTCTTACTGCCCCCTTTAGGCAGGGAGGGGCCCTTCTGACTCAAGGAACCCTTACCTCTTGGCTGTTCCCAGCTGATGAGCAAGGGGCAAACTCTCCTTGCCAGACACCCTTTTCCTCCCACCCAGGGTGTTGGGGAGGGTGTCAAAAGGTGGCCACTCTTACGGCCACCATCTTGGCTTTTTTGACATCCCCCCCCCCCGGTGAATGCCCCTGCCTAGCAAATCAGCCAGCCCCTGTGATACGTCTTTTCCTTGTGGCTTCGTGCCCGGATGTGAGCAGGGGGTCCCTCCTTACTGTGAAAAGCATCCCTCACTGATTTTGGCAGAACAGACAAGGATAAACAACCTGGCCGTAACGGGTCCCTCCAGATTTGCTGGGTCTGGAGGTCCCCGGGGTGGAGAAGACCGAGCCACGGATAGTCCGTGCCTGGGGATTCTCACGATGTGGCCAAGAGTTTGGCTGAATGATGGGTAAAGGCCATTTTTCATTGGGGTCAAGGCATATTTATTTGGGGTTGTTTTTTTTTTTTTTTGCTTTTTGGTAGAATACCTTGTTCTGGTACAGTATGTGTAACTGTCCTAACGAATGAAAAAAGAAATAGGTTTGCTTCTCCTCTTAAGCGACAGTCGCTCTGTGTACATTAAATTGCAAATTATACCTTCAATATTTCGTAATGTCTCCTGGGTTGAGTTTTTTGGTTATTGGTAAATGTACTTACATTTAATGAATTTATTTATGTAATTATATTTTTATGTCTCATGGTTGGCACCTTAGGAAAGAAACACAGCATCGTTAGGACTCCTTCTCCCCCCCCCCCGATCCTCATAGACTGCATCGGTTTCTTAATCTGCCCAGCTCCAGCTTCTGTCCGAGGCAGTTTGGTCCTCTGCCTCCTTATTGAAAAGTACAGCTGTAGCTAAGGAAGTGTCCTTTTTTGAAAAAGAGGAGCCAGGACCGAACGAGAGATGCTTCCGCCTTGCTTTTAGTCCTTCTGGCCATTCCCTTGTCCGGAGGCCTGGCAGCTTCTGGCTGCTGTGGCTTGTGAACGCGCTCAGATCAGAATTGCAGTCCGATCCATCTGCGGACTGTTGGCTCAAGAGCTTGGCTCCTGGGACTTGCAGAAGCGTCTCGGCGGCCTGGTTCAGACATTGCAGCAAAACAGTTGATTTGGGGTAAACCTACCCGGGGTGGAACAGCCGGAAATGACTTAGCGCAGGAGTATCCAGTGGGTGTTCGTCTCCCTTTACTCCCTGCCCTCCACACGCCCTTTTCCCCTCTCTGCTTCCAGCAGGGAGCGTTGAGTGGGCACATTCTGTTTCTCCTGAGTTGGGAAGGCTGACAGTCCTGGTTGCTGATCCAGACGCGGCCTCAGAGCCCTCTGCCGCACTCGGTGTTGGGGGCACAGTGGGGCTTCACGGTCCTTGAGCTGGGCAAGGTGGTACGGATGGGCCACGGCACCACGTAGCACAGTGGAGGGTGATATTCTCCATTTCATCCTGATTTTACTGCAGTTCTCACGCACATATGCACAAAGACAATGCCAGGGTCTGAAATTCTGGGGGGGAAGACTTCCTGCCAAAGCCCAAGCAGAATTCTTCTGCATTAGCTGTGGTGATCTGGTTTCACAACCCTGGGAATGTCATTCTGACCTTGGAAACTTCCATGGAGCAGAAGCCTGGGGAGAGCTTTTTCTGCCCTGGCCGGTTGTACTTCTGCCTTCTCCTCTGGTGCCAGTTTCTATCAAGGCCTCACCTGTGGATTGGGCCCTGTGCCCCACGCTGCAGTGCGGGGTCAGCCGATGGACTGCGGGGAGCAGAAGGGAGGCCGGCCTTTGTAAAACCCTGAGAAGGGCTGCATTACCATAATATGTCGCTGTTGTTCAGGACCATAAAATGGTGAATGTGCTCTGAGTGATCTCCTGCTAACTGATAGGACTCTACACTGATCTGGATTTGAAGGGGAAAAGGTGATTCAGGGCACACGCAGGTGCGCGTGTCACACCTTAACCTCAAGCCTGGCTTTGTTCTGGGCTCATGCGTGTGATCCCAGGAAAGAGTGCCTAATTTAAGGAGGTGCAGCAGGCATGCTCCCATTTTCACCTTTGGGTCTAGAGAGGGGCCCAGCCTTTCTAAATGGTTCCCCAAGAACTGATTATTTGTTGAGTGGCTGATGTGCTACCCCAATCCACGGTACGGAGTTTCTGGATCTGCAGATGTTCCTTGTGTCTAGCAGTAGTTCCTAAACCTTGTTTCTGGTTCTGATGACAATTTCTATTCCTTTCCTCTTCCACCTGACTCAGACCAGATGCGCGAGGTAACAGGACCCCCATAGGCCTCCGAGCCGGAGAGTCTGATGGTGCTGAGAGCAGGAGGAAGCCAGACAGCCATTGCCCCGTCCAGAAGACCTCCCCGCTTTGTGGTTGCCATTCCTTTGAATGGTGGAAGTAACCTCCAAGCAATGTCTTGCATTGGGTCCTTTTGGGTACTCCTAGGTGCGTGTTTTTCAACCTTGGCAACTTTAAGATGTGTGGACTTCAACTCCTTCATGCTGGCTGGGGAATTCTGGGAGTTGAAGTCCACACATCTTAACGTTGCCAAGGTTGAAAAAAACTGTACTGGGCTGTCTTAAGTATTTGGGGGCCAATTCTGATCCTCAGCCAATCCAGACTTGTATTGACTGAAAATAAGAGTTAAAAAGTCAGCCTGGAGCAGCCCAGGGCTTCCCCACTGATGTTGATGCAGAAATTAGTTTTCCTTTTCTAATCTTTCTTACTTCCTGCCTATTAGCAGGAAAATTCCAGCCTCCAGGGGATAAACTCAGAGACCTCTGCATCCATAGAACAGTTGAAACTTCAAGAGGTATTTCTTAAACACTGTTTATTCTTTAAATATAAATAGACTTCTCTGTGTTTACTATATTTGCCATGCTTGACAGGAAACTACTGGACCTTTTATTTATTTATCATTGTTATTAACAACAGTGATCTCCTGAAATATTTTACTCCTCTTTAAAAGGCGTTAACATTTTGCGGTTCATTTTAAATTGTCTGAGTCTTGCATTTTTTTTGTAATTATTTCTGATAGCTAACCTCTGCATTCTGGATCTTGTATTTCGGCTTCTTTTAAAATTATTTTTAGTTTGACCTTCCAGTCTCTTAATTTTGACTGAGAATAAGCTGTGATTTGGCATCGGGAGAGATGAGCGAATTAAATGTTGTCCTTTAACTGGTCATTGGGAAGTTCTCTTGGAGAGAGAGGAACCCTCCTCATGCAGCTCCAGCTTTTTTTGGTGGGACCTCTGGGGGACATCCTGAAACCTCCTCAGATCATGGTAGGGGCATCGCTTACAAGTGCAGGACAAGTGATATTTTTGTTCTTGTTATGGGTACGATGATAGCTATGACATAGCTCCACAACCTATAGCTGATAGGCTTTCTAACAGCCAGCAGACTGATAACGTTCCACCTGAATCATAAAAACTGCCCTCCGTTTTTCATGGGTGACACTGCTTGGTGCGGGGAGCAATCAGGATTGGGAGGTACAGCTTTTCATATCCAAAGCAGGAAAGATGCTTAGGAGGGGACACCCCTTTGCCCCCTTGAAAGATCTTTTCTACTTCAGATCCAAAGGGCTCCTCTTCCACTGATTATGAAACAGCACTTTTAATAGAGCGGCAGACCTGTCAGAATCCTTTCTGAGGTCTCTGTTTTTGGTCACTCTTGCTGTTTTCTCCCAGATAAAAGGTGTGGCTGTTTCGCTCAGTGCCAGGTCTTAACGGGTTGTTACCTGAAATGGATATCGCCTTTTGGCTGTCATCGTTTGAAATCCAGCATCCTGTCCTAGGACAACGTTAGCGACCTGGGTTGCACCCACTTGCACTGCAGTACAGTAATGCCATTAATGGGTCTCACTGCTTCAGGAGGAGGTCAGCACCCTCAGCTGGGCGCCTAGGGGATCCCAAGCATTAGCTGCCCACCCCTTCCCTGTTCCTTCGCTTTTGCACCACAATATAGGCATCGCTGGAAATGCAGCTGCTGTCGGGGCAGGACTATTTGCCCAACAGGACCCTAAAATTTCTAGGAGACCTTTTTGATACACAGAAGAGGAGTTGGGGAGAGTCTTCCCGCTGTAGGGTTGCTTCCCTGCACTGTGCTTTGCCTGGGGCTTGTCCAAGGAGCCTTTGGACTGTTGGGGCAACCCCAGTCGGTGTTGGGGATGGAACGTCCTGAGCACACGCAGAGCAATTGCCACCGAGGCCACCCAAAGATCGGGGTGAACTGGCATCGAGGTCATGTTGTCACCCCCCCTTGAGCTTGTGAAGGCATCACTGTTGTTTTCTTGGCAACGTTATGGAAGGAATCAAGAATTCTGAGGTCTAAGTGGTGCAGATTAAGGCCATTTCTTTAATTAGTCCTGCACTTTACATTGTTTACTAAATCTCTGCAATTGCTGTTGCTGATCCTGAGGAGGCATCCAGCAGGGATATGAAGAATTTAGAGTGCTGTGAACCCAGCTTTTGTGGTTTTTAAATCATGGCTTACAGCTTAGCAGGGTCGGTGAGGCTGTGGCTTCCACGTGAACCTCAGTTAAGCAAGCCATCCCCAACTTTGGGACAATGGCTGCCATCCAGATGTGCCCAGAGGGTGTGCATCTCTCCATCTTCCACGCTTCTGTGTGGATGCTTTGTGAATCACCTGGACTTTCAAATGGGGGTGCAGGGGGTGCCCCGAGACATGCTCTGGCTTCCATCCCCATTACGGGTCACTTTTCCGCGCCAGCTCGTTTGGCAGTGAAAGGGGCGGCCACGTTGGTCGTGCATGTTCCGAAGAGCGGCTTTTCCCTCAGGGGAGGGACCTGGGACGTCACTCTGGCCCAGCCTGGGCTTGGGGTGGCTTCTATAAAGGACCCCCGAGAGACTCAGAGCGGCCTTCCCTGTATAGCCTCCCACGCCTCTGTGGATTCCCCAAGTCTTGGCTCAGGACGTGGCTGCGGCTCGTGGCCTGGGAGGAGATTCGACACCGCTTGCACTGCTGAATGGCAGAACTGTGTAATGACCCAAACCAAGCCTCCCGCGGGGAAGCAGGCGCTCCTTGGAAGTTGCAGAACAGCTCTAGTACACGCAGGAGCCTCTGCACACAACCGTGGAACTGCCTGCGCCTCGAAAGATCAGCCACAGCCATTGCCCCCCCAACCTATGAACGTTTCAGGATCTGCAGTTCTCTGTTGGGGCAGTGGAGGTGGGGAGGGAGTAGCCTGAAATGAGAAGCAGGGTCGAGCCAGCCTCTCCCGGCCCTGCCGTGCTAGCAGCAGGGCTCGTGCACGCGTTGCATTGCAGCCACTGGTTTTGCTGGGGATGTTGGCTGTTGTCAGCCCTTTGAGGTAGGCCAGGTCGGGGAACAGCCACTGCCTGACCGACTGGAACTCCTCCTTTGCTACAGAGAGCAGAACAACAGAATTGTGAAAGGCTGATAAGAGATCCTCTCTCTCCCCACTTATACTGAAGCGAATCAAGGTGGGGGTGCATCTTTTCCTCGTCCCCTCCGGTCTGTCTGGGCTAAGCTGGCATTTGCATAACAGTGGCTGAGTTCCTCCTTCAAGGCCTCCTCTACGTTTGTGGAGGATAACCCAGAACCTGCCTTCCATCTTCAGCAAAAACAAGGCAGTTGACTGTGTGCTGGTGGGAAAGTGTCTGCAAACGTTTCCTTCAGGGCCAGTCTTCTTGGCTTCCCTAGCTGTACCTTTCCTGTTTGAGACAGAAAAAGAAAGAGCAGGCCTTTACATGAAGATCTCCTGCTAGGGAGGAGCCCTTTCTGACAGGGCTTCAACGGGCCAGCCGTGATGCTGCTGGGTTTCGGTGCAATGGCTCAGACTTGATTCTTCTTGGTTAGAGCGGTCTTGGTCGTTCTTTTGGCTCCAACAACCGAATGGTGGTGGTGGGGGGTCTGCTGAGCTTGGACCTGCAGCCCGCTAGGCAGATGAGGCAGGAACAGGGCTCGTGGTGCTGAGCCAGATCGTAGTTTGGGTTTGGGCGTTACGACGCTGCCATTGTGGGTTTATAGCTAAGGGTGAATTACGGGCCCAGCCAACTGGCTTATTCAACGATCTGTGGTCAAACAACCCCAGCTGAAACTAGTCCCTTTCTCCCCCGTCGGACTAATGTCCCTCTGCTGCCGCCCACAGACCTGCAACGCTTCCTTTGCCACCCGGGACCGGCTGCGCTCGCATCTGGCTTGCCACGAAGACAAAGTTCCCTGCCAGGTCTGCGGGAAGTACTTGCGGGCTGCATACATGGCGGATCATTTGAAGAAACACAGCGAAGGACCAAGCAACTTCTGTACCATCTGCAACAGAGGTAACGCATCCCCTGCTGCTGGTGGGGCGCGGGCGAGGGGAGGCCAGCTTGACTGATGTCTTTTGGGGGAGGAGGAGAAAAGCAGCTCTTCCGTTGTGCAGAAGGAGGTTCCTCTTGGGCTTATTGCTTGTTGACTCTGGCACCCCGATCCGCCTCTGCAGCCGCCACCTCCACTGCTGCAGCCATGGTGCTTCTGGACACTCACTCAGGCTTTCAAGCTGCCAGGGGTCAAAGGTTAAATGCATGGGCATTGGGCAGGGGCCACGTAAGCATGAACCAGCCCCACCAGGACCTTCTCTTGCTCCCTGAGTCTTCTAGAAGAAGGAGGATCTGAGCAAGGGGGAGGACCTGAGGCTGTGCCACTGGCTTCGCGCTTTTTCTGGGTGGAACTCCACCCATTCTTCCAGGCAGAAAAACAAGGGACCCCAGAGACTTTCCAAGAACGTGGGTGGGGAAAGACACCTGCACTTTCCCACCAGTGTGCCGGGCAAACAAGCCCTTCTTCAGAATGAGGGCATGGCAGCAAAGTCCCTTCTCAGGTTTTGAAATGGATGGGTGCCACATTCTGCAAGGTGTGTGCTTCTCTTACGCAGAAAAGCATACCTGAGCCCTGAAGAATCTTTCCCAAGACCACCTTGCAGCTTCGGGGCCATTGCTTAAGCGTCCAGGCATGTGGCCAGGTGTTGGCCCTGCTCTGTGATCCTCCGCCTCTCTGCTTCTTTCATGGGGAGTCCCTGGGGTTTCAATGGGCTTGAGATTGCAGCTGTAGGCCAGAAAAGACATCATTAAGGGGTAAAGCTGCTTAATTCTTACTTAGAAGGCTTGATTTGGATACTGGAAATAATGATTAAGAGCTGTGGGTGATATCAGTGGTATCAGCGGTGGGTAATATATCCTTTGGACTCCAGCAGGGACAAAATGATCCTGCTCCTCCCTGCTTTTCTGAGAATCCTGCTCCATTTGTGGCGGTGGGGAATGCAAGAAAAATAGGGATCTGTAGTTTAGTAGATCAGGGGGATGCTGTAGACGTAGCATACTAGGACATTTGCAAAGCCGTCAGAAATCTCTCGTGATTTTCTCCTTAATAAAATGGTAATTGTACTTAATAGCTCCCTTCAGCTTGAGGGACGTTTGGGGTAGAGTTCCCCAGGCCCTGTTCTGTTCACCATCTTTATCAAGGACTTGGATGGGGGAGTTGAGGAGACGCTTACGAAGTTTGTAGATGACACAGAACTGGGAGGGATGGATAAAACTGATGAAACAGAACATATTCAAAAAAATCTACCCAGGGCATTCCAATAGATCGCATTAAACATGATCCAGTAGCGCGATGCAGTTGCTAAAAAGGCACATGCTACCGTGGAATGTATTAATAGGAGCGTAGAGACAAGATCATGAGAATTAATTGCTCCCTTCTACTCAATCCTGATCAGATCCTATTTGAAAGATTGTGTCCAGTTCTGGGCACCACAGTTCAGAACGGGCACTGACAGATTGGAACAAGTTCAGAGGAGGGCTGCCAAGATGGTGGAGGGTCTGGAAACCAAGTCTTATGAGGAACGATTAAAAGATCAAAATAAGTTTAGCCTACAGAAAAGAGCACTGAAGGGAGATATAATAGCAGTCAGCAAATATCTGAAGGATTGTCACATAGAGGAGTGGGTAGACTTTGTTGCCCCAAAGGACAGGATCAGAAGCAGTTTGTTAAAACTACAGGAAGGAAGTTCAGGTTAGACATCAGGAGGAACTTCCTGAGTGCACAAGCTGTCAACCAGTGGAACAGGCTGCTCTATGAAGTGGCGAGTTCTGCTTGCTGCAGGCTTTTAGACAGTGACTGGATGGTCATCTGTCAGAGATCCTGCACTGAAGCAGAGGGTTAGGGTAGGCGACCTCTGAGGTCCCTTCCAACCTTATGATTCTATGCTTCTACCCCACCTTGGTGGCCAGTGCGTGCAGAGAACCATATGTGCGAGCCCTTGTCTCCCTGGCCAGTTTGGAGAAGATTTTTTATTAGCTGGGGTGAGAATGACTGTCTCTGCCCCAAGCTCTGGAAGGCCCTCATGAGTAAAGAGCTGAAGAGCCCTCATGGCTGCAGAGGAAGAGCACCTGGTTCAGGGAGGAGAAGGCCATCTTCACCTTAAGGAAGGACCCACTGCATGAGAAAAATTCTGTGTGCAGGCAGAGGAGGAAGAGGACCTCTTCCCCAGGAACATCCACCTTCAGTTGCTTTGTTCCTTTCTGGTGGAGACTGGCACTTCAACCTGTGTGGATAGTTTCACACAGATAAAAAAGTTTATGGTTGGTGGAGAGGCTGAAACAGGTCTGGCCATCCAGTCAGATGATTCAAAGCCAGGGGCATCTGTCAAAGAGATCTACTTTACAGAGATTAATATTTCGAGTAGAAAAGACTGATGAAATGGAGAGGAGAATGGAGGACAAAGTTAAAAAAAAAAAGCTATAGATCATTGCTAAAACATTTCCTTTCAGCCGCATCATATGTATGTAGACTCAGAAACACAACCGGTTATATCCAGTGATGTTTACATCCATGCTTAAAAGTGCTGGCTTAGTCTTTTTTGGTGATTGCCAAAATCACATTTTCCACAGGGCTTCAAAGAAACCATCCTTTTTAGGTCCAAATTGTCACTGGGTTGTGCTTCTTTAGCGACTGTGCAGGAAGTTTGTGGGGAAAGGGAAAATAAACTTTGAGGTGTCAGATGTTATTATCAAAACATAAGATATTCATGTTTTGTTCCTCTTCAGTCAATAGAGAAAGTAGGCTGAACATTCATTTGTGTTAACCCAGGAACTTCCAAGCTTGCAAAGTTGGATTCATCCTCTTTGACAAGGAACCACGAGGAATAACAGATTTCGGTCTCCCATATTTATTAATTTATTTGCTTGCTAGGGAAGGAGGGAGAGTGATGAGAGTAAGTTTTTATTTCCATTTTCCTGTCCCCAAGGAGCTGGTCCTGGACCACATGATCTACATCCTGGGGAACTGGGGAAGACCCCCATGATTGCAGGAGGGCAAATGTTGCCCCCGTCTTCAAAAGGGGAAAGGGAGGATCCCATGAACATCTGCACCCGGGAAGACCCCAGGACCTTTAACAGAGAACTCGATCGGTCAAGCACGTATCTTGACGGGCTGATTGTGCCTCATCTTTAGACTGGGTAGCTTCCTTAAGAGATTGCTGGGATGCTGTCGATGCAATTTTAGTTTCTATTAAAAAAGTATAACAGCCAAATCATGGGAAATCATCATTCCACTTGTATTCCCTCCCCACATTACTATGTCCACTTCTGGATACCACATTTAAGAAGGATTTGGAGAGAAGGGAAATGCGGACGGGGAGTGGGGTGGGGGCTTAGAAACATCAGTCCTTTGAAGGGAAGATGAAGGGACTGGGAATGTTTAGCCTTGAAGAAACATGCCAGGGAAGGAGACATGACAGCGTTCAGAAAAGAAATCCCAAGGAAGACCATCTTGTCTTGTTCCTCAGGAGAGGACACAGAATCCTAGGCTAAAATTACAGGGCAACTGATTATGGCTGACCTCAGAAAGAGCTTCCGCCCACTCAGGAGGGAATTGGGGACCGGCGGGGGGCTCAGCCATGGGCAGGAGCCACCACGTGGAGGGGGGCTGGGCCATCCTTGTCTTAAGACGCCCCTTCCGGTTGGACGCTTCTCTTTGCTGATACTTTTCAGTCTGTCAGGTTTAGCTGCAGGCAGCAGGGGCAGATCCAGTGGGCCTTTTGAGCCCTTTTCGTTCCAGAGACTGCTGCACTGGGAATGGGGGAAATAGCTGGAGAGGAAGGGGCAGCTCAGTGGGGCTTCAGCAGGCTGATCGGGGGGGCGGGGAAGCTGCCTGGAGACACAGCAGCCTTCTGGGGAGCTCCCCCACCCCCGGAAGTGGCAGGGCAGGGAGCTTGGTGGTCATGCAGACGGGCACGTTGGTCGTGGTTGATCTGCCCCAGCAGAGCAGGAGGTCGTGGTCGTCACCGGGATTGGTGCCAGGAGGGCAAAGCCATGCCGGGGGGCCGAGGCGCCCAGGCTCTGCTGAACTAGGGCTGGCCAGCCTCTGCCTCGCGGCCTCTTGTCCCTCTGGCTTTCTGGTTGAGGAAGGGCAGTGGGCTGGACCTTGCAGGCGAAGCGTGGCCCCCTTGGCTGCCCCACCAGTTTGGACCCCCCTCTGAGGCCAAACACCCCAAGGGAGCCCCGCAGAGCCTCGGCCGCTTGAGTTGAGGAACAGGCTCCTCCTGTGGGCCCACCCGGCTCCGGCCCCTCCGATGCCAGCTCCGGACTAGGTGTTGTGCCCCTGGTTGCCCCACTTCCCTTGGCTGCAGGGAAGGCCCAGAGCCTCTTCCAGCACTGTGCCCCACAGAGGTGAGTTGGCACACCTGGCGACCTGCCTGGGGATGGGAGGGCCAGCCCAAAGACTGGCAAGTCCATGGTCCAGCTGCCTCCAGCTGCTGCTCTGCATTTGGGCCCGGCTGCTGGCTCCCAATGGCGTGGGGCTCGGCTGAATCTGGCAGCCTGCAGGAGCGTTGTGCTTTGTCTATGGGGAGGGCTCTGCGGGGCCCCCAGGTCAGTTCCTCCTCAGCTGAGGCAGAAGAACAGCCTCCATCATACTGGAGCTGCTGAAAGAGTGACGGCAAGTGGAGGCTTGGTGCAAGGGGCCCCAGAAGGATCGGGAAGGGG